TTCACAAGCCCCACACCCACTCTGTGTAATATGAGGTGACAGACTTGCTAATGAAGGTTTTTGTTACTGGAACCTTCACGCCCCTACCCGGTCCTTGAAAAAGTGTTTCTGTGTGAGACTGGTCCCTGGTACAAAAAAGGTTGGGGACCACTGCCCTAGGGGGTTAAACTGTCAATCAATCAATCAATCAATCAATCAATCAGAATAGAGCTGGAGGACTTCTAATCCAACCCCCTGCTACAGCAGGAGATGCTATATAATTTGAGGCAAATGGCTGTCCGGTCTCTTCTTAAAAAACTCCAGTCATGAAGCACCCACAACTTCTAGTGGCAAGCAGTTCCACTGGTTCATTGTCCTCAACGTTAGGAAGTTTCTCCTTAATTTCAGGTTGCTTCTCTTTTTGGTTAATTCCCACCCATTGTTTCTTGTCTTGCGGTGCTTTGGAAAATAAGTTGATCCCCTCTTATTTGTGGCATCCCCTCAAATACCCGAAGTCTGCTCTCATGTCACCCCTAATCCTTCATTTCATTAAACCAGACATACCCAGTTCCTGCAACCATTCTTGATACATTTTAAGTCTCCAGTGCCCTTAATCATCCTGGTTGCTCTTCTCTGCATTTTTCCCCCCCAAAGTCTCAACATATTTTTGGTAACGTGGTGACCAAAACTGGATCCAGTAGTCCAGGTGGAGTCTTATTAGGGTTTTATAAAGCAGTACTAAAACTTCAAGTGATTACTAGAATTAGAAGAACCTCTAAGATCCGTTCCAACTCTTGTATTCAAAGTGATTCAAGCAAACCAGCCAATTTTGGGTGTCCCCAAGCAAAAAATTTCTCCTATCAAGCAAAAAATAATAATAATAATGGTCTTGAGCTTTTCATTCTACCTCCGTCAATCAAGCAGAAGAAAAAAAAACTTTTAAAAGCTTCTTTCAGATTTGCACGAAGCAATAGAAAGTCACTGCTTTTCATTTAAAGGAATTTAATCCACGGTGTGGGAAGGCACTCGTTTTGGGAAGTGGCAGATCTTTTGTTTTCCTGGAAAAAAATCAAGCAAAGGGAGAGAAGAAGCGATTTCAAGATCCCGAAGCTCAGATCCAAATTTCGCTACGGATCCTCTAGGTCATCAGTTCCCAGTTTTAAACAGTTATGCCAATTTTGCAAAAAGTGTGAAAAAGGAAGGGAAAGGGGGCACCTGTTTAATACTTGCATGCTTTAACGTGCTCTGATTGATGGCGAGTTGGTCATGCTGGAGAACTGAAAATAAGTTAGGACAACTTTCGATTATGAAAAATCAACTTTTTTCTCAGCCTCCATGAAAACTAGGGCTTTACTTTGAAAGCAAAAATAAGTTTAAAAATTATCAGGAGCCTGGATTTAGGCAATGCTGCCCCTTTTGGGAACCGTGCAAATTATTGCAATAAACCGGGATCGAAGGAATATCAAGATATGCCTCTCTTTTTTTTTTTCGCATCAAGCCCTGCTAGGTATGCTTCTAAGACAGGCCATGGGTCTAATCTCATTTTTTTTGGAGGTCTTTAAGTGCAAGGAAACGCTCCAAATTTTCAAAGAGGGGTACAAGATGCCTTCTGCACAAAAGCCATCTTGGTTTCTGTTTGGAGAGGCGATAGTGAGCCAGGTGGCCTGTACATTGAATTTTTTTAAAAAAATAAAATAAAAATAACTTCTGGGGAAAGTTCTTCGAAGTTTCAAACAGCAGGTTTCCCAGCCTAGCGTGGGGAGGTTGGTGCTTCTTGAGTTCCTCCTTAGGGCCAATCTAAGGTCAGGCTGAAGGTCAGGAGAAGAAGAACAAAGACATCCGTTCTGCTTTTTCAAAAGTGCATCCCATCTGGTTCAAAACCAAGTCACAGCTGGAGCTGCGGAGCCCAAAACAAAACAAAAAAAAGGAAGAAAGAAAACTATTTCAGAGGAGGAGAAAAAGCTTCAGATTTTGAACACCACGGAGCATTTCAGGTGAGCTGGCTCGAGGCCGTCGGTGAAGGCCACGAGGAAATACATCACTTTCCGGATTCTGGCCAGCTCCACCAACCTTTCCCCAAACTCCAGGGCGTCCGCTTCGTTGCAGTCGACCACATCGGGCATGTCCGGCTTCTTCCAGAACGTCCCCACCGGGTCCAAGAGCTGCCTTCGCATGAGGTTGGTCAAATCCGGTGTCCAGTGTTGAGAGGTGCCGATAATGGTGGCCTTGCCTGGCTGGTCCAGGGTCACTTTCCAGCTCAGGAAACGGAGGCCGTGCTGACGGGAGAAGTCCAGCCGGAACACAAACTCGTTGGGGCGGAGGAGCTTCTCGCCGTCTTGAGGTTTCTCCTTCCTCTGCTCGAGGCTCTTCACCCGGATCCTCATCACCTCGGTCAGCTTGGCATCTTGGACCAAAGGCATCTCCAATTCAGCCGCCTCGTCGCTCATCATTCTTCTTTCGGCACGGGGAGGATTTCTGCACCAGCCACCGAGGTGTTTGACTGAAGCAAAAAGAAAACCTCCTTCTGCTCCTTGGCTCGCTTGCTAAGCAACCTGGCCCAGGGAAGGAAGAAGCCCGAGGGGTTTTTTCTCTGGGCGTCTCGTTTTCCAGGGAGGGACACGTTCATCGAGGGTCCCCCGAGCTATGTCTCTCGATATCGGCTGCCTTAACAACCTGGCTTAGCAACCGTTCCCAAGCGAGAACACCTTGAACAGAATAACAGAGTGGGAAGGGACCTTGGGAGGTCTTCTAGTCCAACCCTGTTCTGGCAGGAGACCCGATCACATTTCAGACAAATAGGGGGTCCAATCTCTTCTTATAAAAGCCTCCAGTGATGGGAGCACCCACAACTTCCGAATGGATTGTTGTTGTCACTCTCAGGAAATTCCTCCTTAGTTCCAAATTGCTTCTCTGCTTGATTATAGTTTCCATCTGTTGCTTCTTGTTCTGCCTTCAAGGGCTTTGGAAAATAGAATAACCAATTTGGAGGTCTTCTAACGGAATCACAGAGTTGGAAGGGACCTTGGAGGTCTTCTAGTCCAACCCTCTACACAAGCAGGAGGCCCTATACCATTTCTAGTTCAACTCCCCACTCAGGCAGGAAAGCCTACGTTATTTCAGACGAATGATTGTTCATTATAATATCCAATTCTTCTTAAAAACCTCCACTGATGGGAGCACCCACAACTTCTGAATTGATTGTTGTCACTATCAGGAAATTCCTTCTTAGTTCCAAATTGCTTCTCTGCTTGATTATTTTCCATCCGTTGCTTCTTGTCCCACTCTCTGTTGTTTTGGAGAATGGCTTGACTCCCTCTTCTTTTGGGCAACCTCTGAAAATACTGGAAGACTGCTATCCCGTCACCCCTGGTCCTTCTTTTCATTAAACTAGACATCCCCAATTCCTGCAATCAGTCTTAGTATGTTTTATCATCCAGTCCCCTGATCCTCTTTGTCGCTCTTCTCTACACTCTTTCCAGAGTCTCAGCATCATTTTTTTTAAAATTGTGATGACCAAAAGAGGATGCAGTTATTCCAGGAGTGGCGTTACCAAAGGCATCCTAAAGCACCAAACACTTCGCATGGTCTGGATTCTATCCCTCTGTTAATGCAGCTTAGGGTTGTGTTGCAGGGATGGAGAAAAGGTGGTTGCATTTGAAGGGGCCAAGGAAAATGCTTGGATGAGTTGCACAACCAAGCTGGCACTTTCAAGACCGGCTAAAATTCAACTCCTATGCTTCCCAGCCAGTTTGGGGTCAAAGGGCGGAGGGAAAGAAGAGATGTCGAAGAAGCCTTTTTTTTTTTTTTAATAAGGGTCATTGCAAACCTTTTTTTTTTTCTCCTAATGGTGATTTAATTCACGAGGTCTGCCAAACGATTCTGCATTCCAGATTCTTTCAGGATTTAAAGACAGGTTTACAGAAAACAAAGCACTTGCAATTCCACCCGGAGATTTGACTGGTAGCTGGCAAAGTGCTTTTGGCTTTGCCAAAACGGGGGTCAGGTTTGGATGCTTTGATCCACAGCTCTGCTCCGGCAGGCGGTTGGACTAGAAGACTTCCAAGATCTCTTCCAACTCTATTATTCAATGTTCTAAGTACTTTAAACCTTCCCTTAGGGAAAGCAGAACTCGGTTCTCTGACTGGAGGCTAAAACCTATGAAGAAGGGTTACAAAAACTGGGCCTGGCTAGTCTAGGGAAGAGAAGGACCAGGGGAGACAGGAGAGCATCTTCCAATATTTGAGGGGCTGCCACAGAGAGGAGGAGGAAGGGGTCAAGCTACTCATTTTCCCTGAAAGTAAGTCCTAGCTTGATGTTTACAGGTGCACCTAATATAAGCCCTACCCAGAGGTGGTATTCAGCAGGTTCTGAGCAGTTCTGGAGAACCCGGTAATGGAAAGTTGGAGTGGTTTGGAGAACCAGCAAATCCCACCTCTGACTGGAGATTTTACAATATCCTTCCCCTGCCACGCCCACAGAACCGGTAGTAAAAAAAAATTGAATCCCACCACTGGCCCTACCTCCAAAATAAGCCTTAATTAAGATCCCACCCACTCCAGGGTGGATGGGTAAAAATTAAGCTAGGGTGGGAATGGGAGGGCTTTGGAGCTGCTCTACTACTTACCTTTGGGCAGTTGTAGCCAGGCCTCGCACCTCCTTGACACCTGCCTGGCCAGTCCATTTCTTCTGCAGCCAGCAAGGCAGGCAAGGCTTTCTTGAAGGCCTCTGTAGCTGAGAACAGCTCAGGATCGATCCAGAGGTCTGTTATATCGGCTGCAGAGGCCTTCAGGAAAGCCTTGCCAGCTGCAGAAGAAGTTCCTGAAGGCAGACAGCAGAAAGGAGGCCGGGGGTGACGCACGCACGTGAGGTTAGTCAATGGAGGACATCCCCCCAAAATAAGACCTGGTGCCTTTTTTGGTGGCAAAAAAGATATAAGACAGGTGTCAACTCATAAAATATTTCTCTGGTCTTTTTAGAGTTGCCAACAGAAAGGGAGAGGGCAGCAGCTTGCAAACCGAAAGTGCATTCCATAAATGTTTTCCAGAATCTGCCGGAATCCTGACAACAGGGTCTTATTTTCGGGGGAACGTGGTATTTTCTAAAGCACCCGAAGGCCAGTCAAGGAATAATGGATGGAAACTGATCAAGGAGAGATTCAACCTGGAAATAAGGAGGAATTTCCTGACAGTGAGATGACCTACAAGGTCCCTAGACAGTGGACAGGTCTAGACAGTGGACTAGATGACCTACAAGGTCCCTTCCAACTCTTCATCTGGTTAGGGATCTCGTGAACGGAGGAGGGCATGTGACGCAGCCCACGGCAAATGTGATCATGGAAAGATGACAATCCCTCGGTGGGCCACCTTCTGAATTTCATTCATTAGGAGGTCCTCTGGAGATCCAGGCAATGGAGGAATGGAGGATTACAACACAGCTGCAGCAGCACAACAATTCATTCTAAGTTGCATTGGACACAATGGATGCCAAGCTAGTCTGTGACGACCCAGGGCGTGGCACGAAGGCAACACAGTCAAGATAAGCAGTAGCCCCCAATGTCCTGGTTACCTTCTGGGCTGGAGAAAAACTCTCCCAGGAACAGCCTTGGGCTGTAGACAATCAAGTCCAAAACATGGTCAACAAAAATTGTAACTATAAGTCCAATCGAGGCAAAATGAGGTAATTAGTCCGGCAGGGCAAGAGAAGGAATTTCAGACTTGAAAGCATGGCAAAACTCACACAGTTGGAAAGATGCCAGGAAGCCAGATAAGCCATGACAATATCAGGTAAATTCATGTTTGTTCCCAGAAGACGCCACACTCAGCTTGCATCTCTTTTAAACTCTCTTCCCAGGTGTGGCTAATGAAGGGAATCAGGGCCCTTTCCTCCCCCGTAAGCCATGCAACCCACGTTGCTCCCTTCTCCGTTCCTCCCTGTGTGCCCTAGGATGAAGAGCGGGTGGGCCTGGGTCTTCCTCTGAACTTCCTCTCCCTTGTTTTCCCTCTCCCCTGCTCTGCCCAGCTGCCCTTTGCACTTCCCCAGTTTCCTCCACAGCCAACGGAGCCACACTCCCACTCCCTGTCAGCTGTTCATCTTCCTCCTCGGATTCAGATTCCGACAGGGGCATGACAATGATTTCCTTTCAAGTCCAGTGATAACAAGAAGTCAACAACCCCCAGTTTGAGCTTCTTCAGCGACAGACCAAAACCACGTCTCTGCACAGTTTCGATCCGTGCTCGCCACTGGAGCGCCCCGAGCCGGCTGGTTTTGGGGCTAAGCCACCCCGTGGAGGTGGTGAAGAGGGGGGAGACTGCCTGCAGGGTTGAGGAGAGCTGCATCTCTCCTCCCCAGCTGGCCATTACTCCCTTTCCCGAAGGCGGTTGTAGCGGTGGTCAGAAATGGCCACCACAAAGAAGAACTCGACCGGAAAAGAATGTGCAGGAGGAAGATAAGAAGAGAAAGTTTTGGTTGACTGGGTCAAACAGCAAAAGCAACAAATAAGGTACCCTGGAATTGAAACTATTAAAAAAAAAACAATAACATTGTTCCCTAAGAAGATTTCTAAGCTGCGAAAGAGAGAGAAAAGGGAAAGGATTTGGTTTTTTTTCTCCTCTTCCTATACTGAAAGCTAAGAGACTTAAGCAAGAAATTGGAAAAAAATCCACTTTGACATTAATAGGCATTTATGTGAAGAGAAATAAGGGAAAAATTAATTATGGAGATTATATGTGTCTTTAAGGAAGTATGATATTTAATTGAAAAGAAATGTTAAAGATGTTAAGACTTTAATGATTATTAATGATAGAACTGAACTGGAATGGAATGAGGGTTTATAATTACATATATTTACAATCTTTTTTTTTTAAAGAATATAGTGTGTATTATAAGAATGTACCAAGCAGAATTTGATTGGAAGTTATGTATTATGTATTATGTATTATATTGAAGGTCATAACCTTAAGGTATATATTGAAGTTTAAATAAAAGTTGAATGGATATAATTAAAAGATATAAAGGTGTCATACTCCAATTAGTAACTACAGGAGAAAATTTGTTTAATGAGAAAAGATAATATGAAATTGAAACAGAACAGACAAAAGTATAAATATAATGATTTGAATTGAGATGAGATAATTAAAATAAAATTGAGAAAATTAAAAAGAGGGGAAAAACTATATAGAAAATGTAGAATAGTGTAAGATATGGAATAGAACACAAAAATGAGCATGAAATTGAGTTTGCGTCTGTATAAAGAAGTTCAACCCGGGACCATGCTATTTTCAAAAAAGATGTTTTACTTGTATTTTGTGTGTGTGAAAACCCAAATAAAACTTTATTAAAAAAAAAGAAGTCAACAGCCTCATTGAAGCAATTAATACCAGTGTCTCAAAATACAGAAGTCCTCAACATACGACCACCACCAAGCCCAAGATTTTTGTGGCTGAGCCAA